AAAGTATGTTTTAAAAAAAGATGAAAAATAAACATATGTATACAAAGAAAAGTTGAAAAAAATTATCATTAGTAGAAATGCACTATGAGACATATTAAAAGGAAGTCCGTCAGGAGGAAGAAAAATAGTATTACTTGGAAATATGGATCTACACAACAGAATGTAGAGCCCCTGAAGTGGTAACTGCATACATAAATACTTAAGATTTGTCTTACTATTTAAATCTCTTGGAGAAACAATTGACTAAATAAAACCATCTAGCAATGTAGTGTGGGGTTGATAACATATTAATAAGTAAAATGTTGAACAACAATTGTCAGAAAGAGTCTGACTCTTTTTGATGTTTCAAGTTCTGCTTCCCACTTCCCCTTCTCCCCATCTAGGTAAGCTGGCAAGAAAGTCAGCTTGCTTCCTTGCTTTAGACTAACAGGGAAATTCAAACCATACAAACCCTGGCTCACACACAGAAACTCTCCTCAGGTTCCAGCCACTAACCACAATAAAAAACCAAAGCCATTCATCCATCCCTTCACTGAAGCCATTTCTGACCAAGCTTAGGTGCTAGCCCTACTCTGCTTAGAAAGTCTCAATATATGGCAATCTTTCATACTTTCTTGGTACATCTTCAGTCTTGTGGCAACATCAGTCAATATTGAACCAACTTTGAGGAGGATGTTGATCATGCCCTTCACTAGGCAACCGCAGAACAACTGACACTGTGAGTAGTGTGGTGTAAGTGATGATCACCATTACCTGGGGGCCTTCCTTCTGTTGCTTTTGACTTAATAACTGTCTCTGCTTTCTACTGGTTAGACAATGCTTTGAGATGTGTTAATGTGCTTGCACTTTGAGATGTGCTGATTTGTGCCACATTTGCTGAGTCTTCTCTAGTCTCTATCATAGATTTAAATGCTAAACCCAAGTCAGAAGTATTGAAAATTGACATTTAGAGACAGAAATATGGGATTGGGGCCTTCCTTACAGTAATCCTGAGTTGTGTACATTTCAGCCTGGACCTATCTGTTTGTCTTAGATTTAATCATGTGTCTCAATTGAATAATGCGAGGCTTAGAGAAACAAGTCTTACTCTATGACTATTGATTGTATGTCTCACACATGGGTTGACCCCATACTATAGAGTGCTCAGGGGAAAGACTGATACTCTGTGCACTAAACAGGCCCATCCAGTGGTTGCCCATCTGAGAAAGAGCAGTCACCACCTGGTGTGCTCAGATTTATAATTTTAAAAGCAGATAGCTCACTAGGAACCTATGGAATGCCTTGGTTGCTGCTGCTGCTGCTGTTGCGTATGTGTCTGCCATGAAAAAGATCCTGATTCTCAGAGTTACAGAAAAAGAACACCTGTGCCAACTCAAAGCACAGCTATGGGCTTAATTCAAACCTGACTTAAGCTTGGAGTCCCTAAATCCAATAAAGTGACAATTGCCCTCAGGGAGACCCCCTAACACTGAAAATACTGATTTGAAACTCTCTGGAGGAAGAAACTTAAAAATATGGACAAAGTAGAGAGAACCATCCTTC